GTCCGCTCACTGGTTGAGCGTGGTGCGGGCGCAACACCGAGGGTTGCGATCCCGTTACCGGTCATGAAAAAAGAAAAAAAGGAAAAAAAAAATTATAAAAGTAATATATATATATATATATATATATTCCTAATGGAATACAATAGAGAGCCCAGAGATAAATTCTCACATAGATAGTTAATTAAATTTCAAAAATTAAAATATTTCCCCATACTGTCTAGCCGCCTTAAAAAAGAAAAATTCAACAGTTCGATCACTCAGTGGGGTAAGGACAGTCTTTTCAACAAATGATGCTTGGAAAACTGGATATCTACATGCAAAAGAATGAAGTCGTACCCTTACCTTACACCATATACAGAAATTAACTTAAAATGGATCAAAGACCTAAATTTAAGAGCTAAAACTATTAAACTCTTAGAAGAAAACATAGGTGAGAATATTCATGACCTCAGATTAGTCAATGATTTCTTATTTATGACACCAAAAGCAAAGGCAATGAAAAAAAATACATAAGTTGGACTTCATCATAATTAAAAACTTGCATCATAGGACACTACTAGGAGATTGAGAAGATAAACTACAGAATGAGTGAAAGTACTTGTAAATCACATATCCGCTAAGGGATTAGTGATTGGAATATATAAAGAACTCCTATAACTCAACAGCAGCAACAAAAACCACAATTTAAAAATGAGCAAAGGATTTAAATAGACACTTCTCCAAGAAGATTTACAATGGTCAGTAAACACATAAAAAATGTTCAATATCATTACTCATTGGGGAAAAGCACATTAAAACTACAGTTGGATACCACTTTATCCCCATTAGGATGGCTATTATCCAAAAACAAAAAAAAGTGTTGGCAAGGATGAGTAGAAATTGGAACACTTGGGCCGGCCCAAAGGCACAATCTGTTGGGTGCGGCGCTTGGGAGCGCAGCGGCGCTCCCGCTGTGAGGGTTCGGATCCCATGTAGAGACCGGTCCGCTCGCTGGCTGAGAGCGGTGTGGGCGCGACACCGAGGGTTGCGATCCCGTTACGGGTCAGGAAAAAACACAAAAAGGAAAAAAAAAAAAAAGAAATTGGAACTCTTGTGCATTGCTGGTGAGAATGTAAAATGGTGCAGCCACTTG